CTGGCAGAACATCAGAATCAATATTTTATTCAAGAAGTACATGCCTGGAAGAAGCGTAAATTGCTGCATACAGAATCCGATATGGAAATCACAGAAGGTGTACAATGGAAAGACTTACCGGAAGTTGATTATCCAGATCAAAGAGCTGCTATGTGCGGTCCATCCTGGGCAAGCGGACAATTCGGTATTACCCCGCATGTCATCCCCATAGGAAATTCTTTCATGCAGACCAATATGTGTATCACGGACAAGACTTTTCTAAATTAGGCCCGTTAATGAAGGATTCCCTCATATAATGGCAATGAAATACCGAGATCGAGATGATTACACATCCTCCGTGGCCATTAGTGAAAGCTGAAGCGCCATCACGAATCTGGTACCCGATTCTAGTCAGCGTTACAAAGATGCTACTGCATCTAGATTTTGAATGTGAACTTAATATCGCGTTTCATGGTCAATATTTTGGTTTTACGTTGGTCGAACGATTAAAATTGCTTTGATGGTTAAGTATGTTTCAATCAGGATACAACGGCACTGTTCCGAAAACATTCTATACCTGCAAATGGCTGGATTTGGCATTCATAGAAAACAACAACAATGATCTGGATTAAATCGATTATCATACTCAGCTGAGGCATCGTTGTTATTAACTAACATTACATGAATCCTTGATATGGTTTATAACAACATAAACTGTTGTGCGCTTTAACGTTGAAGGTCGGCCACAATTTACCAATCCAAATTCAACTAGCTTACGTCACTACGATGCTTTGACCCGCCAATGACGGTATTTGTGCTAATTACCATCGCTTATGGCTAAATATGAATCTCTGTCAGACCTCAGACAATAGCAAAGGGATGTTCGACCAAATGGATAAGGAAATAACGGATAAAGGACCGAGAAATGGGATGAGGCATAAAATATACAAACGAACGTTGGAAATTTTGTTGATCGTCGCGCTGCTACCATTGTTTATTTCATCGATCAGCTTTCCTTTGATGTACTTGCAGATCCGAAAGGCGACCGAATATGCCAATGCTCAACTGGACTTCTTTCAGGTAAGCGGAGGAAAAGCTTTGTGGGCTTTATTGCCTAAAATTGGCATATATGCGGCAGAGTTTGAGTTTTGCATATTTATTTTGCTGAGAATGAATTATTAATCATGCTGAAAGACGATGTTCTTTAGTGATCCTGCTCAGGCAGTTGAATTTTTGTTTATGTTTATGGCCTGAAAGCGCCATGATCTTTGTCGCTTTAATCCTGAACATAAATAAAGTGTGAGCAGCAAGGTGACTCCAGTTTTAACTGATAAGATAGATCAGCTTTCTTTGTACACAAAATTTATTTCTACCAGAGTTTGCAACCGACTGGCGACTACTGTACCTCACGACAGATTCAAATTTTGTGTTGTAGTCGCAAATTACATGCAAATTGCAGTAGCTCTCAAAGTGTCGGTGTAGTACCACCTTCCGTATATATAGTAGGCATCATGAAGCTTGGTCATGTTCTGCTCTTATGCTTCAGTCTCATAGATGGAACTTGTAAATAAGCTAGCTATATATGGCCCTTCAGAACTGAATCATACGGTTTAGCGTATAACCGCCTGGTTCTAGTTGTCTAAGGATGCCATTTATGCAATCAACAGAAATAAGCTATTTTGGCATCACAGCAAGGCCCAAAATATGCCGTATTATTCTACTATTCAAAGTTTTCTCATTAGCTGTGTTTCGAAAGTCAGTACTCTCTTGTGATTTTGAAGATCATTCCATGATTGCAAGTGCCATGGACTGTAGAAACATGGCCTGTCTAAATACTTCAAGGTTACAATAAAATCCATTGAGACAAATCCAGTTTTGAAGATATATCTTTGTTTAGGAATTTAACATTGTGATAATTACTAATCAGCAATCAGGAGGGTCAGAGCCCATGCATCAGAAAGCAAGGTCTTATATATCTGGTATGCTCTGACCCTTGATGGCACCAGTGCACCATGCTGTCCTTATTGTCGTCGGCTTGCTAACCGTTTTTAGTCGGTTGCGCTGAAGCACACCGAGGCGAATCATTTGCTTAAGAGGATTATTGAACGATAAATTATACGACGTGCAACGAACTCAAATACGATATCTAATTCAAACCGGAGTTACTCTGTCGATAGAGCGTCGCACTCAGTACCGAGAGGTACCTGGTTCGAGTGCAGGTCAGGTCATTTGCCATTCTTCCTTCGGATGTTCATAAAACAGCACCAATCTGTGGGAAAAAACAACAGACTTTTGACACCATGCTTGCCACATTACTGCTGTCGACTCTTCGTTGAAAATGAGGCATTCCTGGCTGATGACATGGAAGTGCAGATCAGCACTGCACCATTAACTTCTTGAAAAAAGGGGTAGTAATGGCCTCATCATGAAAGTATTCTGAAGACCGATGTTTCAGCGGGTGCCACTTTCCTTCCTTCCTTTTTTAACTTGTGGAGAAACGCTACAACAATCTTCAGTATTTCGTTCGTGCGTTATTAATCATGCGGGAAGATATCATAAACACGATTTATTTTATGCACAACACAAAAACTGATCAATCAGATAACTGACTAATAATTACAACGGACTGCACCATTACATCTTCCTGCTCAATACGCTAATTATTGTGCTGTTTCAAACAATAAGTAATAAGTTCAGATATGAAGGATCATCCCATTCTCAAAGGAAAAACTTTAATTGCATAAAGATTTCTAAGGTGGAGAAGTTCAAGTACCTCGGAACTGTATTTACTAGTGATGGAAAATTGGAGGAAGAAACCGACCGGCGAATTGGAGTAGCCAGTGGCGTTCTGCATGAACTATCCCGAACCGTTGTGATGAAAGCAGAGCTCGGTCTGAAAACTAAGCTCTCGATATTCAAGTCGATCTTTATCGTCATCCTTACATACGGTCAT